TATGTTTATTATTGCTCTGTGTACCTATAGTAAATGGAAAGAACAAGAAGTGATGATATGATTGAGTTTTGATGCCCGATTGGAAAGAATGTTAAAAGCTTTAACTGAGTCCATGAGACAACAACAGAGACAACAACTATCTCTTCTCCCTTCTCAGGTGCAAGTGGAACCAGTAAACAATGACATTATTGGGTTGACTCAGAAGTTCAACAAGATGAAACCTCTGACCTTTCTAGGTGGTATTGAGCCACTGAAAGCTGAAACGTGGATGCTAGAAATTGAAAAATTATTTGAAGTGTTTCCATGTTATGAAACTTAGAAGGTTTTGCTGGCAACCTACACTCTAAAAGAGGAATCTAGGCATTGGTGGATGTTGATCCGAGATAATAATGGGGCTATGACATGGAATCAATTCGAAGAGATTTTTTATGAAAAATATTTCTTTCAATGCTTTAGAGATTGTAAGGTCTCCAAATTTGAACGGTTGAAACAAGGCAACATGTTAGTAGCAGAGTATGAAGCCAAATTTACTGAATTAGCTCGGTTTGCTCCGCATATGGTGGACACGGACTACAAAAAGGCCAGGAAATTCGAAGGAGGCCTTAATCTAGATGTGTTTGATCGAGTTGGTGTCTTAAAACTAACCAAGTATATGGATGTCTTGGATAGAGCTCTTACGACTAAGGCCAATTTAGCAGCCATGAAACAAACAAAAGCTCCAACAAATAAATGGAGAGGTAAAATATCTGGGTTTAATTTCAGAAATGGGTGGTCATTCTCAAATAAGCGAAATACAGGATCGTCAAGTAGTTCAAGTCAAAGTAATAGAACTACACCTACTTGCTTTGAATATGGAAAGAAACACAAGGGCGTTTACTACTGGTCAACAGGTGCTTGCTTTCGATGTGGCAAGACTGGCCACATGATAAAAGATTGTCCGCTCCTGTCGCAAAATCCCAACCATCCCGCGGCAAGTTTGGCAGGGTCTACCACCAAGAACGAATATGAGAACTAATGTTGAAAAGAAAAATTTGAGGTAGGGTAGAGTTTTTGCACTTGTTCCTGGGGACATCTAGAATACTAAATTAATGGTGTCAGGTATAATCCCTATCTGTACTCAGAATGCTTATGTCTTAATAGATTATGCATCTACTCACTCATTTGTGTCGCCTGCTTTCTCTCGGAAATTGACTAGACCTCTAGAGCCTATGAATTATATGTTGTCTGTATCTACACAATTTGGGGGTTCTATGTTATGTTCATATATATATATATATATATATATATATCCTGCATGTGATGTTATGATTGGAGAAGTACTTCTATATGTTGATTTGCTGTCGTTGGATATAGATCATTTTGATTGCATATTGGGTATGGATTGGTTGACAAAGTACCATGCGGCCATTGATTGTGTTTCTAAGTCTATGATATTTCGACCACTGGGGTTACCTAAATTTGTATTTGCTGGGAATGGTATAGTTCCTCCCTCATATTTGATCTCTGCTATGAAAGCAAACAAACTGCTTAAGAAGGGATATAGGAGTTCTTTGTGTTGTGTTTTGACTGTACCAACTGATAATGTTAATGTGGAACCTATCCCTATAGTCAAAGAATTTCTTGATGTGTTTCCTATTGAATTGCCTGGAGATTTGATAGATAGAGAAATTGAATTTACTATTAAAGTAGTACTTTGAACACAACCGATTTCTAAGACCCCAAACAAAATGTCAACCTCTGAATTGAAAGAATTGAAAATTCAACTTCACAAACTGTTAGAGAAGAAGTTTATCTGACCGAGTACTTCACCTTGGAGTGCTCCAGTTTTATTTGTTAAAAAGAAATACGAAACATTGAGATTGTGTATAGACTATCGGGAATTGAATAAAGTGACCATGAAAAACAAATACCCACTAACCCGAATAGATGATTTGTTTGACCAACTTCAGGGAGCCCAAGTATTTTTCGAAGATAGATCTTAGATCCGGGTACCACCAATTAAAAGTTAAAGCGGAGAACATTGAAAAACAACCTTTCAAACTAGATATGGACACTATGAGTTTTTGGTAATGCCGTTTGGGGTAACTAATGCACCTGCCACCTTCATGGACCTAATGAATAGGGTTTTCAAACAATTTCTTGATGAGTTTGTTGTTGTGTTTATTGATGATATTCTGATCACTACTACAAATACAGATAAAGATCACACTTTTTTGGTGTAATGTATATTTTTTAATCACACCTTTTAAGTTTTATTAAAGTGAGGTCTTTGGGAGTGTGATTAAAAGGGGTCATTTTTAATCACACTTTTTAAGTGTCATTAAAAAATACTTTCATCACATCTTTAAAGTGTGATTAAAAATATTTAGATCACACCTTTTAAGTGTGATTAAAAACATTTAGATCACATCTTTTAAGTGTGATTAATAACTAATAAAACCTGTAATAAAAAAAATTGACATATTTAAAGAATAATCAATATTATTTTTATATGCGCATTTCAAGAATGTAATACACACTATATACTATACTTTGAATCACAACCACATATTGAATAGAATAACGTCGTACATTTCATAAATGAAAATTAAATATGTTCAAAAGTACATACAAAGGAATTAAATAAAAAGTTTTAAACCATGCTTACATATATTAAAAATGAAAAAACTTAAAAAACTAAGTTCTTGAATTCTTTGACCATATTTTGTATCTCTCCAAGAATTTCTAACCTAAAAAATGAAAACAAAAATTAATTCATAAACCGTTAGAAGCATATGAATAAACTAACTATTTGTAGAGATTGTTCTAGTCTTATAAAAGATAAAGTCCTACCAATCACACCCTTTCAAATGTCTTAAGACTTGGACAACAAGTATCATTTCTTATATCGCTGAAGGGAGGCAAAGATGAACTGAATGATGGAAAGTGGCCAACAATCAATGAAGACAAGGTTTCACCAGTCCACCACAGGCAGCAATTTGCTAACAGCACACAGGTTGTCATTTGTTAAATTCATCAGAACCTGCCACAAGGAGCATAGTATAAATGTTGACAATCATCACATGAATCACAACCACGTCAAACAGATTCTCAATAATACACATTTTTAGCCACTCCATTGCTGATGCTCTCATCTTTTCTCCAACTTCTATATTTCAATATTCTATTTGGCATAAGTAAAACCAATAATATAAAAAAAAATTAGAACTGATGGGCAACTTATTAATGTTGTAATTTATCAAAGATATTTTGTTACAGGAAGGATCATGCTCTCTTTCATTTTCTATTTTTCTTCCTCGATTAAACAACACACAATCAAATCTTAAAATCAATCAAGTTTTAGAGCAAAGCACACACCCTCGAATAAACAACACAATCAAATCTTAAAATCAATCAAGTTTCAGAGCAAAGCACACACCCTTGCGAATCAATTCAAAACAAAGTGGCTTAATGACAACTGTTAATGTCACCAACTACATGTAAAACGATAAAATTTGTATGCTATGTTGCCTGTTGTCTTTATGTTGAAGTTCACACCAGTCACTGTTTGTTTATCTATTGTTCTGAATTCTTTCTTTTGCGTATGAAGTTTATGCTATTAATGGTGGTGATGGTGGTGGCTAAGTTTCTATTTTCCTATATACTTGTGTTACTCATTTTACTGTTGTTACTTATCAAAGAAAAAATTACTATAATAATTTTTTACAATAATTAGGCACCTTGGCATTAACAAGCCTTATTAACTCAAATTACTTAATACACTTTATGGGTAAATATCTAATTACACATGTTAGAAAAATGCAGATTTGAGACAAATGATGAGTCATAAATACATTTTTATGAAAATTTTCAGTATTCATAAAACAACTGAATAACATTAAATTGGGCATGGTTAAGTTTGAAAACATTAGGTTATGGTGTGCCAATATCAAAAAGGTATAAAGCCTTCCATCCCAAAGGACATTCCATCCTCCTATCACTAATTTCAATAAGAATAATGATACATAAACATAGTTTTTATATATGATTCTCATAAATTCAAAACTATCATTCATTTTCAAATCATTTTCCTTTCACTAATATTACTTAAACAAGCAGTAAGTAATAAAATAATAAAATGATTATTAGGAAAAGTTGAGAAAGAGCTAACCTTTGGCTAAAGGCTTTGAGACCAAAGGTGGGAAAGTTACTAAATCCACAGCCATCAGCAGCAGCAAAGAACCATTGAAAAAGTGCATTAGTAAAGCTACCACAGAGGGAATAGAATAGCATCATTACTTGTTTCTAGCATCCAAATTAATTAACTCATTAGCTCCCAAAAAAATTTAAAAAAATAAATAAACAAGATGCTAATTCTAATAATTTTCCCCCACCAGCCCTCACAACTTAAATTTTAAAAAAATATAAAAGGAAAAGGAAAATTTGTAGATCAAGAATATGAATAAACCTAAATGTTAGAAGTCAATTGTTTTTGTTAGAAAAAGTGTGGTATAAATATTTCTTCTCTTTTTTCCTACATTATCCATAGAAGGGTCAAACTATTCATTGGGTGTACTCAACTAATCTCAAGACTCACGCAAAGCATTTCCTTCCATGCGAGTCAGGCAAATCTTCGACTATGCTCACAGGCATAGTCCCTGAGCAATTGATAGCACTCAATGGGAGGAGAAGTTATGTGGTGGTCTTGGGGCATGGCTAGGTAGTGTCCAGGAATATTGTGATTGGTAGAATGAGTGGAGCCTATAATTTGGTGTTTGGTATTAGAAGAACAACGAGAGATATGACATTTGGTAATTGGTAGGAGTATTACCATGTGATGCTCCAAGACTATCTAATAATTTTTTCAAATGGGAGTTGAATCTCAAACTTAATGCTTCATGAGGGCCAAGTGGTAAGTAATATCAGTTTTAGTTCTAAATAGTAACATTGTGTGGTAAATAATATCAATTTTAGTTTTAAATAGATACATTAAATAAGATTAGGGTGAGAGACAGTATTAATTACTTGGCTAGTTTGGCTCCTTTAGGAGTGTGAAAGCTGTTGATGAGGTAGGCAGTTGCAGTTCCACTAGGGTATGTTAACTTGTACTTGAGTATCATCATCTGAGGAGGAGAGGAAAAACAATTCAAAAAAAATTACAAATTAAAAAGCTTATCAATAAAATATATTATTAAAATTAAAATTGGTTTGTTGTAATAATCTATTATTATTATACCTTTCTAAGGGGGACAATTGAAAAGAGACCAACAAAGCTGACAAGAAAGAGAAAACCAATCATCCAACCCAAAGATAGATTCTTCACATTGATTGGGTTGCTTGCTTCATCTGCTTGAGCTGCAATACGTCCACTCATTCCTAGTAGATAACTTGCAGTCCCACCTGATATAATTTATTTTGAAAACTTCACTTAAGCTCTCAAAAAGAATAAAAATAAATTCTTTTATGTAAGAGCTTTTCCAAGGGGGGGAAAATCTAGCATACAAGAGGAACAATTTTGTTTTTAGTAGGCAAGAGGCCCCCCAATTTCCACTACCATGCAAGGAAAATATCTAACTTCTCTAAAGATTGAAAAGCATCAAGGCATCAGCCATGTGCCTCAGAAGTCCCATAATCCATAAGGCTTCTTGTAACTAAATAAAAATGTAAGCTTTGATTCCAACTTTGCCTATTTCTCTCCAAAATTATTGGGGGTGAAAAGCAAAAATAAAAATAAAAATAAAACTCGAGAAAACTAAGCATGGTCAAACTGCTTGAAGATGGACAGTAGGAAAGACATCCTTACATTAAACATATTAAAGGATGCTTTCCTTGAAGTACACAGGACCAATATCCTTAGTTATGATACCTAATGCCTGAAAAGTGACACTAAGATCCTCCATGATCATTTTAACATATCAACCTTCATCAAACTACTCTCAGCCCATATTATGTCAAGCAAAACATAGGAGGTGTACGTGTGTGCTCACATGTGTGTGCATAGGGGGAGAAAGAGAGGACCTTCTCTTGCCCTCAGGCCTCTGCCAACTTGCATTTCTCTATAAAACAAAACATCACTATTTGTAACTCATTACTGGCACAAAATCAAACAATGATCAAAATAAGATAAAATTGAAGGGAAAAAAATGCAAGAACAAAATGAACCCAATACACATTTATCAAAATACCCTACAGACAACCGAGTATCGAACAAGAGATCAACAACATATTTGGAGGAATGTAAACATCCATTGCCAAGTAAATTTAAGAATCCACATGAATATGGCAAAGAGAAACAGGTACTACAGAACTTGGCTTCAAATAAAAACAACATTAAAAATCAAAATAGTAACAATGCAATAGCAACAAAAGCAACATACTTAGATAAACAACCTGACCAACTTTTACTGCTTGCAGCAACTTTTCTTCGGGGAGGAAATTACAATAACCCTGTGGTGGACAAGTTACACAAATCAGTGAGATGATAGAGACTGTAACATGTTCTGTATCAGTTTTGGTATACTCCGCATCATATCTTTTGTAAACAGGTTCAATAGAAGAAACAATTGAATATATAATTTCAACAAAGAATGAAGTGAAATAATTTAGGATCATTAAAAGAAGAATAAAGTGCAACAAATTCCTATCATATTTTAAGTATCTACCACCTGAAGTCCTTTTCCAAAAAAACAAAAAGATTGAAAAAGAACATGAAAGCCAAAAAGTATTTAACATCCAACAAAAAAAGTGAAACCAGGAAAAAAAGGAAAAAGAAAATGTAAAAGCATACAAGGTTTACCACAGTGAGTCTTTGAATAGACAAAATTCATAACAAATAACATCATTTTCTTTCAACTTCTACCATCAAGAAGAATCCAATGCGGAACAGATAAGTCAGATGAGGATAAAGATTAAGATTTTTATTTATTTCGGAATTTTATTTATCTAGGAGTTTTATTTACTTGGGAAGTCAAGTTTGTTCAGGATTAGTTTGATTTGTCTATACATATGGACTTCATGTGATGGATTTAGTAGACTATATGATTTGTATTTTGATTCATTGAGAAATTTGATAACAGATTGTAATCCCCTGTTTATTCTTCTCTCCTTCTTCAATCTTCTTCTTCCTACTGGTGCTACATCAGAAAACACAACCACAAACTATTTTAAATCAAAATATATTGTTGAAGTTTCAACATCTAACTACTAATTTGGTTCAAAATGTCACCATTAAATGTAAAACATTGCCCCAGGAAGTTGAAAATCAATCAATGCCAAGTTCGATAGATACAAAATTATTATTTAGGGTTTCAACTCACACTAACTGATTAATATATGGAAATTGTACTCTATTTCACATACTGTTAAAAGCAATCAAGGACACATTTCTAGAAAATTAACAAATCATAGTAAAATTGTGAACAAAG